CCACTTGAGTTAATCTGGGTTTATCCATACAATTTTTTTTTCCCCTTTTTTCAAAGCCACACCTAATGTTTCAATTCTCCAGTCCTCCAGCAATGCCTGATCTGATCATCCCACCTCCACCCCATTCTGCTCTTTCCTGCCATTTACCCCATAACCCTGATTCCCTTCCTGATTTGAAACTTTGTCTATCTCCGCCTCGAGTGACCCAGCCTCAACAACCCTCTCCAGTAAAGAATGCCGCAGATTCACTAACCTCAAGAAATTCCTCATCTGTCTTAACCCTTTCATCTAAGATGTTCTGTGGCCCTAGATTCTCCCACAAGGGGAAACAACCCCTCCACATCTATCCTGTAAGGCTCCTAAGAATCTTGCTTGTTTCAATAGTCATGCCTCCTTGTAAATTCCAATGAGTACAGTTCTAACTTATTCATTCTCTTCTCCATAAGACAGTCCCTCTATGCCTGGGATCAAAACTGTCAACTGCATAACCACATTCGTTGCCCACTCTGTTTTGACTTGTCTATATCCCTCTGTGGACACTGTCATCTTCATTGCTTGCATTTTGCACTTATTTTGTGTCGCCCACAAATGTGATGACCAGTATGTTCGTTCTCCTCATCCAAGTCAATAATGTCTATTGTAAATAATTATGGCCCAAGCACTGATTCTTGTGTCACTCTAGTTACAGGTTGCCATCCTGAAGATGCCCTCCTTATTCCAACTCTGGCTAACTAAAAGACAATCATTCTCTACATCAAATATATTGCATCCATTGCTTTCCCCTTTTATCTACCCTGCTTGTTAATTCTTCCATAAATTCTAGTAAACTTGTCAGGCATGGTTTCTCCTGTGTGAAACTACGCTACATCATATTATGTATTTCTAAAAGCTCTGCTATTAAATCCTTTATCACAGACTTAGCTTAAATGTCTGTTATTAGGAAAATATTAACTGGTCTGTAGATACCTGTTCTTTTTCATCTTCCCTTTTTTGTTTACTGATCCTCTGGAACTTTCCTTATTATTTAACAACTCTTGGATATTAGTATCCACAACCTCTGTAGCTATTCTTTTAATATGTTTGATTCATCCCATGAGATAATCCTTTCTTTTTAGCCTCATTAATTTCCATCGTATTTTCTGTCTGGTAACTTTTGTATTTATTTCCTCACTACCTTTTTTGAACTTTTGGTTTATATAGTCATCTTTTAATAGTATTAGTATCTTCTACTGTGAAGACTGATGCGAAGTATTTTTTCACTTCCTGGTTCCCTGTTATTTCCCGGCCTGTGTTCACTTTGGCCTGTCTTGTCTTTTTTATAATAGTTGAAGCTTGCCTGCATCATCTTTCCATTCATGTATTCGTCTTGTCTTCCTGTTTTTGTTCCCAGTTTGTTGTGTGTTGTTTTTTTTTTTTTACATCCTGCTTGCTGATTTTTCTACAAGGCTGCCTAATGGCTGATGGCAAAACTTCGGTGTCGTTTGGTGGAGGTGCTGGTGTTGGACTGGGGTGGCTGAGGTCAAAAGTCACAACACTCGTTTATTTGAGATCGCAAGCTTTCGGAGCACTGCACCTTTTTCAGGTGAAAGGAAGAGAGCACCTTGGCTAGAATTTAAGATTTATGACCTTATAAAATTCATAAGATCATACAAATGGTGTGAGTGGAGTACTGACAGGCTGAATGATCGATCTCTGTAGGTGATCAAGAGTGTCAGATGGTGTGAGTAAAGCATCAACAGCTTGAATAACAAGTGAAGGGATGATGTAATCTGATTTAGTTTGAGGCAGAGAGATAACCACAAAGAATTAAAAATAAGGTGGTGCTGGAGATAAAACCAAATAACTGGAACAACAGGCTTGTGGACCACTACCTCTAAATGTTCACCTGACCGCTGAAGATGTCTTGCAGCTAAACACGTGCATCAGGTGCTGAACTGTATGAATCATTTGAGGTAATGCAAAACTTTGTCTTTATTATACCACACCAAAGGTTCAAAATTGTCTGCTTAGTCTTCATTAAGCAGCTCCCATTTGCCAGTGTCCCTACCTGAAGCCTGTGACTTTCATTTATATGCTTGCTGAATTGCACAAGGAGAGGAAAAAAGAAGAGAATGAGGGACGAGGAGAATGATTTGCAGAAAGCCTCTGGCAGAGTATTTCATTTTGGCATTTCCCAAATGGTGTCAATGGGATTAAATATTATAACCTGCCTTTTTAACAGAGTCCAAATGCTCCTCTGGGCAAAAATATACCATAATTCTGAAATGGATTACTACGCTGTTACTAGCAAGTTCTTTAAACTGAGAAAGTGGTGTGTGCAAATTTCAGCTGCAATTTTTTTAAAAAGTCCACTACTTCAGACTCACTTCTGTCCTTTTTGGCCCAATATCATTTGGATCCATGATTAGATGCTACTCTCTTGGGTTGAGGCAATGAATCAACTAGTCATGTTGGTTAAGTTTTGGTGTCTGATTATATGCAGCGTTTGTATGCTATCATATATTACTAATGTCACTTAACAGCCATCTTAGGTTCGTTCAACACTGCATCAGTTCCAGGACCTTTTTGCTTAAATTTTGTGTCTAATACCACCCCTCTCACTGACACCTGGAGGAGAGACTCCAAAATCTTGTGTCTTCAAATAAACCTGTTGGACTATAACCTGTTGTCATGTGATTTTTGACTTTGTCTGCCCCAGTCCAACACTGGCACCTCCACATCATGATGTTATTTCCATCTGTGAAGGACCAGATAGAAAGCATTTTGTTCAAAGGTCTCGCTCTTTCCCCTCCCAGTTATGTGATGCTGAAGTCTGGCTGAATGCTGTAAAGGATCATGTCAAAATATGGGTATATAAATTGCTCCAGTCTGATTGTTATGAAGTCCAGTGTTGAAACAGATGGTGCAGTAATTGTCATCTGACCCTAGAGGGCCTCAGAATGCTTTCTAAAGTTAATATTCACAGTCAACAGCAAATTAAAGGGATTGGACCGCATCATCAGTTGGATTCTTTTGATGCTGTTTCATTTGACATAACAGTCTGCATACTTGTGATCCGTGAAAACATTTTTATAATCTTGGTCTATAAAGCTACAAAAGACTTGCAAGGAGTGCTGTTAATCTGTAACCGAGCAGTAAATGGTAATGGCAATAGAATATGGGTTAAGGCTTCCCTATTTGATTTTATAATGGTACAATCGTCAGACTTGCTTGCTTGAAGTCTGCCTGTATCCCTTTCTTCCCCCCCCCCCACCCTGCCTGGCCTTTCCTTGGGCTAAATCCTAATTACAAGGTGGTAGCCTACTTTTGAATACCAGCTTTCGATTAGGGGTGTGGGTACTTGTTGATTTTAAGCCTGCTAGTAAATGAAAATACAAGTTGGCCTCCATCTTAAGTATGACCTAATTATGTGGGAATATGGTCCCTCCTTATGCAATGATTTGATTGGTGAATGTCTGTCTTCTTTTAGTGGTATTGAAATAACATGGGAGTATATTTGTAAATTGCCTTTATGTACAACACAAAGCTGAATGGATCCTTCGATAGCTTTGATACATGGAGGAAACAATGCCTCACTCTTTAATAGTCATAGAGGTGTATGGCATGGAAACAGACCCATTAGTCCAACTCATCTATGGTGACCAGATATCCTAAATTAATCTAGTCCCATTTGCCAGCATTTGGCCCAGATCCTACTAACCCATCCAGATGCTTTTTATATGTTGTAATTGTACCAGCTCCCTCCACTTCCTGTGGCAGC